AAGCATTCGGAACAATTCAAGACAACCACGCAATGCATTTCAGAATGCCGCCTTGGATTTCGGGCGACGCACACTTCAAGGGACCAGCAAAGTTTCGCTCGAATTCCCTCCTGGGACAAGTGATTTCTGTCTGCGCCGAACTTGGTGCCAGCAGCAGCACGGTCAAGAATCGGCACAAACGTGCCACCAAGCGGCTTCGCATCTTCATCCGGCAATTCCGGAACACGCATCCGCTGTGTCGCGTCGGCCCCACAACGCTCTGGCATCGCAAGACCGAACAGGTTATACCAGGTGTCTATGCGCAAGTATGGTACTTTATTGATATCGGACGCAGTCATCAGGAATGCTCACATACAGTAGTAGGCGTTGGCGCGCACGCGCGTCGGACGTGCACGGGGAACGGCTGTCGCGCATTGGCAGCAACATGGGTACCGCGCCAATATCGGGCAGATCGCCGACTCACACGGATAGCATCAATGCCCGAACTCCGAAGCATCAGTTGAAACATCATGATGGCATCCTCGATGAGCCCGAATTTGCGGTGCAATGGCGGCAACGCGAAGCAAGGGGTAACAGAGATGCCTCTTTTACAGGGTGACGGATCCGGGGGGCCCTGGCGCGGGAACCCGGTCCACTCCCACCAACGCGATGCCCCAGGGTGGTAGGTGTGTTGTTCTGAAACGGCCGAACGCCTGAGCCCAAATGGCCACAGGCGTCGGGCAAAAGAGGGAGATGCACTTTCGTGTTGCAGCGAGCCCGAATTCGAGGTGCGATGGTGGCAGAGCGAGACAGGAGATGACGGAGACGCCGCTTTTTCCAAGGCGGCGGATCCGCGGGCCCTGACGCAGGGAACCGCGCCACTCCCAGGAACGCGACGCCCCTTCTCTGGCGATGGGAAGGGGGCGCCAGGAGGGAAGGGAACCCCGTGGGTGGGGAGGCTCATCCCGGAGCCCCCGCCGGACGCTGCGGGCGTCGCGGGCCCGCCCCCTCGGTCGTGGACCGTTCCCTCGGGCGGGGGCACCCCCTCCTTTTCGCCCCCCCGCGGGAGGGCCGCTCGCCCACGACGCGCGGCCGGGGCGTGTGGGGAGGTGGGGCCTCGGCCAACGGAGGAGGCACCTCGCTTCGCCCCGATCCGCTCAGCGCCCGCCCGCGCGGCAGCGGTTCCTCCGAGGACCCGCTGGGGAGGGCCGCCAAGCCCCCAGTCGCCCCGGCGCTGGATGCTGCGCGGGCGCGCCCCTGACCCCGCCGCCGCGAGGCTCGCCCTCTGGAAGAGCAACCTGGGCCTCGAGAGCATCTTCCTGCCGAGGAACCTACCGCGGGCGCTCCAGCGCCGCGGCGCCCCTGCTCGGGCCGTCTGACTTGGCCCGCGCGCGCGGGAGGGGCCCTGCCTTCTGTCTTCTGCCCATTCAGCGCGTGCCAGCGGGCTCCTCGGGCGCCGCCGCTCGGCGGTGCTTCCCCGTCGCCTTCCCAGCGGGGCCCTGTCTTTGCGCCAGCGTCCGAGCGGAACTGCCCGGCGCTCTCGGGCTCGCTTCCAGACTCTGCTCTGCCGCCCGTTGCTCGCCAATGCACGTCGGTACGAATTGAGGCATGAGCCTGACCGGCTTGGGTAGAGATGCCCGCTTCTTGTCCCTTCTTCACAGTGCTGTAAGTCAGACGTACACTGGCCCGAGCAGCGGCTTCTCCCGGCCGCCAGGATCGAGGCGGGGTCGATCCGCCTCGATCCCGACGACGGCGCTGAATTCAACGGTCGAAGGCCCCAGTCTGAGACCCGCTTTTCCATGCCACCGAGAAGCACCTGGCGTCGATGGCGCAGCCGCAGCGGGGGCCCGCCCAGCCCCTCGAGGTCGCCCGCGCACTGGTTATTTGTCCTGGAGAGCCGAGGGCGCCGCGGAGGATGACCGCGCACAGGGCGGCAGAACCCCCTGCGCACTGCTCCGATCGCCACTAAGTCGTCGGCGCAGTCGAGACGTTCCGCCAGCCAATTGCTGCCCCGCGCGCAGGAGATAACCCGCCGCGCGTCGCCGGGCAGCATGGCCCGCCGCTCCGACGCGCTGGAAATTCTCTTGTGGTAGACCTCGCTCTCGCCCCAACCGACCAGCAGGTCCCACTCGTTCTCGCGCGCCGTGATGGGCCATGCTCGCTATTGACGTCGGCGGCGAGTCAGAAAGTGGCCGCGTGCCGGTCTTTGCAGTGGCGCAAGTGGTCGCTCTTCCCAGCTGCCCCTGGAGCCCTCGCGGTAGATCCCGCGTCGCGCTCGCCGGCCCCGCGCGCCCACGCGGACCGTGACGAGCCGAAGTGCGTCATTGACGTCAGTGGCGAGCACGGGGATGCCATCGGAATCCCTGTGCTGGTTGTGGCGTTATGGCGAGCATTCTTCTGCGCCGTCACGGCGCCCTCTGGCGGCCCCCCCCTCGGGTCGGATCGCCCCGATGACCTCGCGCGCGCTGTCGTGCGCGAGTCGCTTGTCGCGGTGCGCGTCCGCCCTGCCGCCAGGCTGCGCTGCGGGGTTTGCCGTGGAGCTGCGGCGCGGCAGCGCCTCGCGCCTCTTGCCCGCCCCGCCCGACCCCCCCTCTTCCTCGAGGTGTTCACAAGGCCCGTCGCCGCGGTCCTTCACGCCGCTGCTCTGGCCGTTCTCTGGGTGGCCCTGCGGCCACTCACTGGTCGCGGCTCGCGGCCAGCAGGGGATGCGGCCGCCCCTGCGACGGGCTGGGCCCCCGCCCCGCATGTCGCGCGGAGCCTCGCCCCCCGCTCGCACTGCTCGAGGCGCGCCGGAGGGGTCGGCCCGCGTGCGCGCAGGCTGGGCCCCCCGCCCCGAAGAATCGCGCGGGCCCCGCAGCGGCCCGCGCTCGCGCCCACTTGCGACGCCCCCACGGCTACCTCGGTGGCTTCCCTCGATCCGAAGTCGAGCGGCTCGCTCGGGCCGGACTCGGTCGCGCACCGCCTGCCTCGCCTCCCGCGCGGGGGGGCGACCCGCGGCTGCCGGGCCCTGCGCGGACCGGCTCTTGGCCGGCAGCCCCTCTCTCTTCCGCGCCCCATCACCGCCAGAACTACCCCCGCAAGGGCCTGCGCGCCGATTCTCTCATCTCCTTGGCTTCGCGAGCGGCTGTCGCGGTAGCTCCTCGAGGTCGCGGGCCCCTTCGCGGGCGGCCCCGCGGGCGGCGCTACTCGTCGGCGGCCCAACAGCTCCTCGCAGCATTTCGCGTCAATGGTTACCTCTCGGCCAACGTCCCTGCGCGGCCTGTGCCCGATCATCGCCTGGCGCCCTGATCGCCCACTGCGACGGCCCCCTGATCGTCGCGACGACGCAGCCTCCGCCCCGAACGATCAAGCGGAGCCCCGCCGACGCCAACGCCATTCTGCGCCGCCGACGCTGTCGCCCCCCTTGCGCAGCCCCCCTCGTCTGAGGCGTCGACGTCGCACCTGCCATTCCCCGCGGCGGACCTGCTTGGCCCCGTCCTTGATCAATTCCTAGATGCGCCCCAGCGCTGCTCGGCATATCCGCTTGAAGGCCAACCTCGGCGCGTTATTGGCGAACCTCGCCCGTGACTCTGCGCGGTCTTCCAGGCGCCATCTTGCCGTGCCTCGCCCGCGGCCGCGCCTGCCCTCGCGCCCTCTGCGGGGGTCCGCGGCGGCGCGCGGGCCGTCGCCTCTTGGGCGCCGGTGCCTGGGCGACGCCGCGGGCAGAGGCCCGCGGGCCCAGCGCGAGGCCCGGGGGCTTCGCGGCGGGCCTCTCGCGAGACGGAACCCTGGAGTCCAGCTTGGCCGCGGTCCGGACCAACCCAGGTCAATGTCAATGCGGCATGAGCAATAGGGTGGCGGATCGCGCGATGACTCCGCAGTCTTGACAGAGCAACGCCCCCCAAGCGCGAGACACAGCTGCGCGGCTCCGATGCCCTGCCCGTCGCCCGTGGGGCTCTCCGCCAAGGGCGACCCCCCCGGGGCCCCCCCCCCGCGGCGGGGCGGAGAGGGGGGCCACGGGCGTGGCGGGCGTCACCGTCGTGGAATGGCGCCCGCTGGTCGGCAGGCGTTTGGAGAGGTCCCGGAGGCGCGCCGATGGGCCCTGCTAAGGCCACCCCGCATGGGCAGCGGTCGCCTGCCCGTCCAGCCCGGGGATTTCCTTCGGGGCGGTGCGACGCCGTGCCCCCCGCGAAGTCTGGCGCGGGCTGCAGGCGGTCGCATATTCTGATCGCTCATACTAATCGCGCGGGGCCAGCCCTCATGCTCAAGCCCGGCGCGGCCCCCGCCCCAAGGGGCGAGCGGTGCCTCGCCGCGCGGGCGTCGAAAACTCGCCGGCGCCCAGCGCGCGCCTTGCCGGTCCGCGGCGGGGGCCCCCGCCCCGAGAGGTCGAGCGGAGCCCCGCCGCCGTGGGCGTCCGACCGCGCCCCGATGCCAAGCGGGAGCGGCGCTGATCAACCGCCGCCGCGGCGCTCGATCAGTTGCAGGGCGTCCCTCTTCTGCTCGAGCGCGCGATTCGACAGTTTCTGCGCGCTAGCAGTGAGCGAGGTCGTTGCCCTTGAATTTCCCTGGGGGAGAATCCAGGCCCTCGCGCTCGGGTCGGGCGCTCAGCTGCCCGAGCTCCCAGGCGGCGATCCTCTCGGCCAAATGCGCGCTTGACATGCTTCTTACAGGCCTACTCGCTGCTGGCGTCGATGGCCGCCGCGACCGCGCTGACCTCCTTCTCCAAGAGGCCGCCCAGGGGGGCCCTCGCCGTTGCGGGCGCGGACGGTTGATGCCAGCTTGGCAGTCCTGAGCGCGGCCAGCGCGCCCTCCTGCTTGAGGTCGCCGTGGGCGAAGTTGGCCATCTCCGCCTGCGCGGGCGGCTTGCGCGCCTGCGACTGCCCGGCGGCCTCGACCTCCTCATCGCTGGCCTCCAACGCGCCTCCCTCGTGGATCGATGATGGCCTGGGGCGGGAGGGCGATGACCCTGTGACCTCGCGCCTCGGCGCATTTCGCGCCCCGCCTGCGGCCGCGCCCTGCGTTTGCGCGCCTCCAGTGACCGCCTCTGGCGGTGCCCCCCGACTCACCCTCATGCCCTGGCAGCGCGCGCTGAGGCAGCGCCTTCGGCTTGAGAGGGGCCGTCATACAGTGCAGGCAAACGTGCGTGATATTGTTGTCGCGGCCGAGGGCAATCGCGAAGTCGGCCGCCGATTCCATGCGCTCGCCCATCAAGAAGGCTTGGTGTATATCCATGGAGTTCACGCTCTGCACGACCGCCTTGCCCTTGTGCTTCGCGAGCTCCGCTTCCATGGCCCAATGCACGGCCGTGGCCTGCCCGGTCGGGGGCTCCTTCTTTTGTGTTTCACAGCACATTGTACCACCCGGCCTTCAAGCTCGCCGTGCCTGGCTTGCACCAATGGTCCGCACCCGCGTGCACCTTGCCGCCGCGGCAATCGAAGCGCGCGTGGTGGCGCGGGTTCGCAGGACTAGGGACCCTGTCGACGAGCGTCTGATCACGGTCGCTGCCCATGGCCTTTGTGACGCTCTCGCGCGCAAGGACCGACCTGATCTGCTGGAAGCTAGGAACGTCGCCGTCGTCGCGCGCCTGGGGGAAGTTGGCGATCAGGCCATGCTCCACCTTGCAGCTATGGGGCGTGATCGGATCGTGGGCTGTGGCATGGCCACCGTTGAACCAAACGGTGCCCCACGGGTCCCTGAACGCCGGGGACGTCGTCTCCGGTGCTCATCGAACCCGCGCCCCCACTCGCACCTCATGCCACTCGTCGTCCTGGCCCTCAGATGACGGGGGGAGCGACTTGTCTGCGCGCTGGCCAAGCTCCCGTCCCGAAGGGTCGATCGGAGCACCGCCTTTTCTCGCGCTCGACCTGTCCCTGCCGCGGCCTGCGTCGGCGCCGCTCGCCTTCCCCCTGCGCGCGCGCGGGGGCGAGGCGGAAACCGACAGTGCAGGCGTGGATGAGTTCTCCTTCCAGCCTCGCTGCGGCGCGGCGTCGAAGGCGCACGGCCGGCCAGCTTCGATGCCCGACCGCTGCTTTGAAACGGCCGAGCGCCTGAGCCCAAATGGCCACAGACGTCGGGCCGCAGAAGAGACTTCACTTTCGTGCTGGCGAAGGTGGGCATGTCTCGGGGCTTGGTCTGCCTTGGGTCCACTTGCCGCCTCAGGCGACTGGCGATCCCCTCGGCGGGTTCAACATGCTGATGGCTGCCGGCGCCGTCGTGGACGTGCGGCCAGCATGGCAACGGGACGTTTTGCACGTCGTCTTCGGGCTCGGCTGAGCTCACGCCAACGGCCGACACCCTCCCAGAGCGTGGCCGGCTGAACCTGCGTGCCAACCTGAAACCTCGACCTGACCCTCAGAGCCCTGTTCCCGCAGATCTTGGTCAACTGGAATACCAACAATTTCGCCATTGCGCGCCCAACGACAGAGAGAAGAGCCTCCGCACCGAGAGTGCGCACTGTGCTCTGCTTCGTAGGAACCACCCGCCCCAACCAAGGTTCGCAGGGCAAGGGACGCGCGCATCCACCGCCACCGAGAGAGTGTCTAGGGGTCTTCGCGTCCTCTTCTGGCAGCCAAACAGACTACGAGGCCAACGTCGAACGTATGACCAGGTACGTTCGCGTGGCAGCGCGCCTCTTGCAAGCGTTCCGAAGCGCATCTTTACGCGAGGTCACGGACCCACGCACAGATTGCACGCCCGGGGCTCGACGCTGGCTGCAGCTGGTAACGACGCCAGCGAATTCTCTAAGGAATCGACGTTCGTGCACACAAAACGGGTATCGCACGCGCAACCTCAGGCTGCTTACGGCGCCGTGCGCGGTGTCGCCTCCGCGCACAAGTGACGGAAACAGAGTGGTGATCAGAAACCCACGGGAAAGACACCAATCAAACCAACCGGACGGTTTGCTACCAACCGGACGGCTTGCTGGCAAAATCCAAGGTTCCAAAAATTCCGCCACCTGTCCCCTTCCTGGTTGTAGCTGGCGCGACGGAAGGTGTGGTCATCCAACTCTCAACAGCCTGCGTTGCTCTCGCGGCGCATGGAAGGTCGCCCCAAGAATCTAAGAGAGGTTGGGACGGATGATAGCGGCAGAAGCTGCCGTGCGTAGTCCCGTACGCAAGCACCACATGCAGGCCGTGCGCCTTTAAAGCTGGCGTGCCAATCCCTCGCAGAAGCCTGCCAAACCTGGAAGATCCCTTGGCAACAGTACATAGCAGAGGCACCTGGAATATTCCAAAACGCCGATCCTACGCATCAGCTTCAGAAGAATGCAATTCGCTGCAATCGACGAAACTTCCACGTTATGCCAGACAGCTGACAGTTCGAATAGTCCTGGAATGGTAAAAGGGATTGGGACAGAGACGCAATGGGAATTGTGCAAAGCTGCCCTGGCCGAATCAGGGTCACTTCCGCCGTGTTCAATGGTCGGCGGGGTGGCCATTATTACTCATGGTCGTCTGGGCACTTCTGGCCCTTCGCGTTGAACCTCTTGGCGATAGTCCCCTGGATTTGTGCACCATGGGCATCCAGCAACTCGCAGGGCCAACTCCTTGCAGCATCGCACTTTCAAAACTAGCTCGCCCGAGCAGCATCCAATCGTGCACATGCGCGCATGGATCACCTTCCAATTGCTTGTCCGGGGGAAGTGAAACACACGGCTCCAACCTCAAGTGGTCGCAGACGTTGGCTCCCTGGAGACACGGGCGGCCCCGTGACCCGCAGGACCCAGGTGGCGGTTGAGCCTGCCTCGTTGGAGCTCAAGCACCGCAGGAGGGAGCGAGAGCAAAAGCAGGAGCAGGAGCAGGAATAGGAGAGGAGGGAGGAGGGGGAGGGAGGGGAGGAGAAGGAGGAGAAGCGGAGGGATAGGGGGAGGAGCAAAAAGCACAGCCCTGGGCCTTCGCGTAAAGATGCCCTGGAGTTTTCCCGACCGCCTGCCAGTCTGCGATGGCGACGGCGACATGTTAGCTTGCTCACACCACGGAGTGGTACACCCTGAAATGCCTCTTCTGAAGGGGCCCTGGGACACACAAATAAATACACACAAATACAACGATTCTCCATATTTTCCCATATTTTCTGGGTTTTGTCTTCCCCCCCACTTCCCATATTTTCCCATATTTTCTGGGAAATTGATGATTAATTGTGTCTGTGTGTTTTTTGTCCCTCCTGATCTTCATCCCGTGTCGGAAGTATCATGGCCATATCCCGAGGTGGCCACGGCCAGATGCCGTTGCCACCTCTTCCAGAGCTGAGATGGTCATGGTAGCGGCAGCCGGAACGTTGTAACGTCATGCCTCCTGATGCTCCCCCTGCTACCCCCCGGGTGAGGCACGCCAGCAAAGTGGCATAAAGCAGTTCCCGACCATCCACTCAACTGCTAATATAAAAACGCTGATCCGAAGCCGCCCTGCAGGCTTTATTCGAGCGCCCGAAGTGTCCGAAATCTGGCCTGGCACATGACGAGTAGGAAGAGGAGGGGAGAAGGAAAAGAGCCACACACACACATGAAACACACACACACACACAAAAGCCCTGTCCTTGCCCCCGTCCCGCAAACCACTGGGTCAGTCTCCATGTAGGTGCCTGGTACGAGACCACGTTTGACCTCCGCCCAGCTGCCCTACTTCTGTGCTACCCTCTCGTGCTCACACGTAATATGGAAACCATGTTCTGCGCAACAAACTGATGGTGATGACGTAATACATTCGATAAGGCAGAACGGCACGAGGAGGAGCAGTATGGTAGCGCACACCAGCGCCAAGAATGATACTGCAGGTGCTGGGTACATCTGTCGTTCCTCCTCAGGTCGTATACGCAGGGCGCCAGGAGGGAGGGAAGATGACGAGGAGGAGGAGGAGGGCAAGCAGGAAAAATGAGAGGATGAGCAAAAACTGTTTTTCTTCGCAGCGGTGAGAGTCATCGTCGCGTTCGGGGGCAGCTGCGGGTGCCACGGGGCTGCGAGGATGAGTAGGAACAGAGAGAAGAGAAGGAGACGGAGCAGGAGCAGGAGGAGGGAGCGGGAGCGGGAGGCGGACGAGAGGAAGAAATGGAGGAGGGAGGCCTCGACGGAGGACGCGGGAGGGAGAGGCGGAGGAGGATGCGCGGCAGCAGCAGCAGGCGGGAGGAGAGAGAAGGGGGGAACGAAGGGGGGCCAGGGCGCAGGGAGGCGGGGGAAGTAGAGAAGGAAAAATGGAAGGAGGGGGTAGGGAACCCCTGACCCGTCCACGCCCTCCCTCTCTTATCCTGTCCTCTCCCTTCCCATTCCCCTTCCCTGCATCCCTTTCTTCCCTTTTCTCTCACCCCCTTCCCTGCCCCTCCTACTCGCCCTTCACTCATGGCTCCACCACCCTACATCCCCCAGTCCCATCCCCCAAGCAGTTGTTCTCACATTCCCTCCATTACCCCCTGGACTCCCCCCACTTTCTCCTCTTCTCACCTCCCCTCCACGCCTCCCCCCTCTCCTTCACCATCCTCCTCCCGCCACCACCCTCCGCCCCTCCCTACTCCTCCCACTTCTGGGCCCCCTCCCCTCACCATCCCCCCTCCCCTCCCCTTCCAGTCCCCTCTCTTCCCCCCCCCCCCTTCGGCACACCGCGGCCTCGAAACGCTGCGCATCGGTGCCGGCGTCACCCATCCGTGCGCGGCACCGGCCCCCCCCGAGGCACCGCCGCCGCCTGGCGCCGGGCCAGGAGCGCCGGGCAGCTGAGCAGCGGCCGCGCGAGGAGGGAGGGATGTCCCCCCTTCCCCTCCCCTCCGGGCCCCCGAGGGCGGCGCCGGGGTGGCGCCGGCCGAGACCGCGCCGGCGCTGGGCGCCGAGGGCGGCGCCGAGGGCGACGCCGGCGCCGAGGGCGGCGGTCGGAGGAGGAGCGCCCAGCCTTTCTCGAGGGCGGCGCTGGGGTGGCGCCGGCCGAGACCGCGCCGGCGCTGGGCGCCGAGGGCGGCGCCGAGGGCGACGCCGGCGCCGAGGGCGGCGGTGAGAGGAGGAGCGCCCAGCCTTGCTCGTGGTAGCCTCGAGGCGGTCTCTCGGAGTAGGGCGCCCCCGGGGCACGGTGCCGGGCCCGAGCGGCCAGCCCGCGGCACCGCGCCCCGTCGGCAGGCGCCCTGGCGGCCGCAGGAGAAGTGGAGGAGGGGAGGAAGACGAGAGGAGCAGCAAAGGGTGCTCAAAAAATATGCACCCTACAAGTTTGCAACCTGCCCAAAGATAAAACATGTGTTAACTTTCAACAGGTGGTTCTCGCCTCCTCACAGATCACAGTCGCCTCAAGAGTGAACAAACAATTCATGGACGGACGGGGGGTCGAAATGTGGCTATCGTTATGACGCCAGAGAAAGAAACCAATCAGCGGTTTATTTGAAAATTCGTGATCTGGATATTGAAATCGATTGTGAGATCGATAGTGAGACCGATCGTGGGATGGATAGTAAGGACGATAGTAAGGTCGATCGTGAGACTGGTCGTGAAGTCGATTCAGTGCGATCGATAATTAGATCGATCGTGAGATCGCTCGTGCGATCAATAGTGGGATCGACTGTGAGATCAATAGAGACGTGGGTAGTGAGATCGATGGTGAGACCGATCGACAAGGAGATCGACCAAAAAACCGGGAACCAGGAAACCCGGGAACCCCGCCGCCCACCGAAATCGGTCCGGAACCAGCAACCGGGAACCCGGGAACCTGGAACCCGGAACCCGGGA